GAACGCTTTACCTGAAGACATGACTCAATTCTCAACTTCATTGCCACATCGCTTAAACCTGAAATAAATGATCGCTCTTCACTCTATGCTGACGTAAATGGTTTCCGGAGTCCTTCAATTATAACTGGCGACRCGTTCCGACCTGATCGATCTGCTTTTCCTATAAAATTCAAATGTTTGTATGTCCTAGAATTAACAGTTGGTTTTGAGTCTAACCTTTGCAAAAACGCAACACGGAAAAAGGAAAAAAATACAGGATCTTGATTAACGAGCTGRGCAGCAWTTATACGCGAGTTAAATTTATTAAACCTTTCTATGAGTTCTCTGGGCATTTTTTTAAATGAATGCTCCACGTTTCTGGACATGTTAAATGACATTAGGATGGACACAACACAACGTCGCTATATTATAAGGAAAATGATCAATCTCGCTATTAGAACAACCTACTATATTTTTTTGTTGTAGAAATAAGACATGGGATAGCCCTGAATTACTGAAATACTAACATTTTTTTAAAACTGTTAGTTTGTTTTAGCTTGATTTCAGTATTTGTAAATTCATATATATATATATATATATTTTTTTAAAATAAATGAAGAAAAAGCCACGCAACTTGTAACTAGGTTTTTTTATATTTTTTTTTATCAATTCAAGTAGCCGGTTGTAAATTGAAATTGCCTCGTATTGAGATTTTCAACTGTATGAATCTATAAACAAATATAGTTTCCATTATTCGACTCAAAGAATGACAGAGAGTTTCTGATTTTTTGCCAAGTTCTCTGATAGTTTTTGGCTGTCCGGTCACTTCAGTGATTAGTCCAAGATCGCTAAGGATGACTGATTTTAGTTATGAACTTCTCTGTTAGACCCATAGTTACAGCTTAAATAGTATGGTTAATAAAAATCATAAAAAAGGAACCAACGGGACCACTTAATCCTAGCGAGCTTGACGTATGTACCTAGCATTTAATGTTCTTCTTGAGAGATAGACGTTCATAAGTCTTGTGTATCTCTATCATCTTAGTCGGGCTTAT